TCAAATGATGCAGCTATAAGAAAACACATACTCTATACTAATCTCTATCTACTGTATGATTTAATCTTTCAAGAAAATCCATACCCCCTAACAGTAGTGTCCAGTGAAACAGGAAGTCAGTGGGCGCGGCAAAAGGGTGGGCCACTGACGCAAATCACTGCCAAAAAGGGCGAACATGCCCAAAAAGGGGCATGTCTGTCCAAAGAACTGGAAGGCCAGCCAGGCATCAGTGTCCCTATGTATCACAGTGTCAGTGTCCCCATGTTTCCTAGTCCTCTAGTCACCCAGTGCCTCAGTGTCCCTATTTCTCCCGGTGTCACCATGTCTCAGTGTGTCCCGTGTCACTAGGATACTAGGGGACACTGAGAGACATGGGGACACTGTGAGACCCGGGGGCACTGAGACACTTGGGGACACTGGGAGAAATGGGGACACAGACACTAGGGACACAGAGACATGGAGACACAGACACTGGGAGACATAGGGACACTGAGACATTAGGGGACACTAAGACACTAGGAACACACTGAGAGACATGGGAACACAGTGAGACCCGGGGACACTGATAGACACTTGGGGACACTGGGAGACATGGGAGCCATGGGGACACTGAGATACACTGAGACACTAGGGACACTGGCTGGGAGATGTGGGGACACTGGGAGACATGGATACACTGTGTCCCTAGTGTCTCCGTGTCCCAATGTGTACCCCAATGTCCCTATGTCTCACAGCATCCCCATGTATCTCAGCGTCCCCATGTTTCCCAGTGTCCCCAAGTGTCTCAGTGTCCCCAGGTCTCCCAGTGACCCCTAGTGTCTCTGTGTCCCTTAGTGTCTCAGTGTCCCCATGTCTCCTTGCTGCCTTTCCCCTCATCCCTCACTTCCCTGAGCTGTAGTCTGTTTCTGCAGGCTGGGAGCTGCTGTCTGAACTTTCTGTGTTGTGTAGCTGATCCCCCGCAGATCAGTGAGTAGAGAGAAGCAGGGAGGGATATGCTGTAACTT